TCGATGAAGGGTCTAGGCCCGAAACGTCAGCCTTCCTGCTCCTATGATGTTGCTTGGCCTGCTGTGTTCATCCAGCTCTACACCTTGTTATCTCAGATTCTCCAGCATCTGCAGTTCCTACTATCTCGGAGGCTGAAGAGAATTCTTCTTATGTCATGAATTGTTTTGATCCAGAATGCACTGTCTAAAAAACTGCTCAGATCAGATTTGGCGAAAACTTTCAGAAGGAAATTGATCAATAAATTAAACAGGAAAGTATGGCACAGCCATGGAGAAGGAGCAGGGCTGTGGGGTTAACAAACTAACTTTCAAAGAGATAGCCAGGGGCTGATTGGCCTCCTCCTGTGCGGTAAGATTTTATACAGCATAAATATTTAGCGTTTTCTCTTTAAGTGTGAAGGATCTCAATCAAACTCATCACTGTTTCTGGGAGCTACAAAATCCTTCTGCTTGGAGACTGAGGCTTAATACTAACTTTGCAATTGCTGCATTGCTGTTGCTGCTCAGTCCAGTTTGGACACAAGAACAAACAAAAGAATTGACCGTGTCCAACTTAAATTATAGAGAGAAACCTCACCTGCTTGTTGGAAGGTAACTTCCTTTAATAGAGAAGGTAAGGCAATGGCCTAGTGGTATCATTGCCAGGCTATTAAACCAGAAACTCACCTAATGTTTTGGGGACCTGGGTTCAAATCTTACTATGGGTAGAATTTGAATTCAGTAGAAATCTGTGATTTAACAATGACCGATGTTAATTATTACAGGGAAAACCCACCTGGTTCTGAGGAAGAGTCACTTGATCTGATACATTAACTTTGATTTCTCTCCACAGATGCTGCCAGACCTGCTGAGCTTTTCCAGCAATTTCTATTTTTGTCGCTGGTTCACTAATGTTAGTAAGGGGCAGCACGGTGGCTCAGTGGTTAGCACTGCTGCCTCACAGTGCCAGGGACCCGGGTTTGATTCCACCCTCGGGCGACTGTCTGTGTGGAGTTTGCACGTTCTCCCTGTGTCTGTGTGGGTTTCCTCCCAATAGATGTGCAGGTTAGGTGGACTGGCTATGCTAAATTGCTCATAATGTTCAGGGATGTGTAGATTAGGTGGGTTGTAGGGGGATGGGTCTGGGTGGGATGCTTTGTAGTTGGGTGTGGACTTGTTGGGCCAAAGGGCCTGTTTCCACACTGTCAGGACTCTATTCTAATGTTTGTTTGGGAAGGAAACTGCCATCTTTACCTGGCCTGGCCTACATGTGATTCCAGACCCACAACTATGTGGTTGACTCTTAACTGCCCTCTGGGCAATTAGGGGTGGGCAATAAAAGCTGGCTTGGCTAGTAACATCCACATCCTGTAAATAAATTAAAACAAAAGGAGCTTGAGGAAGCCATAAAGCCCCCTATTAATGTGCCACTGTTCAACAGTCACTGCTAATCTGTCAATAATCTATATCCCTTCAGAAATGACCTCAAAGATCTGTCAATCCTGAAAGTTCCAACTGACCCTCAACACCCACAGCCTTTTCAGGAAATCAGAGTTCCAAATTTCTACTGCCCTTTCTAAATAAAGGGCTAATTTATTTTAATTTCAAGGCTCTGGACTTTTCCACTGAGGAAATAATTTCGGTCCACCTACCCCATCGGATCCTCATAATCTTTCACATACTTCAGTTAGATTATCCCTTAAACTTCTCAATGCAAAGCGGCACTCATGCAACTGTCATCATCTTTTTATTCAGTCATGGGACTTGGGTGTCGCTGGCTGGGCCCAGCAGTTATTGCCCGTCCCTAGTTGCCCCTTGAGAAGGTGGGGGTGAGCTGCCTTCTTGAACCGCTGCAGTCCATGTGCTGTAGGTGGACCCACAATGCCCTTAGGGAGGGAATTCCAGGATTTTGATCCAGCGACACTGATGGAACGGTGATAGATTTCCAAGTCAGGATGGTGAGTGTCTTGGAAGGGAACTTGCACGTGGTGATGTTCCCATGTATCTGCTTCTAGATGGAAGTGGTCGTGGGTTTGGAAGATGCTGTCTGAGGATCTTTGATGAATTTCAGCAGTGCATCTTGTAGATAGTACACACTGCTGCTACTGAGCGTCAGTAGTGGAGGGAGTGGGATGTTTGTGGGTGTGATGCCAATCAAGCGGCTGCTTTGTCCTGGATGGTGTCAAGCTTCATGAGTGTTGTTGGAGCTGCACCCATCCAGGCAAGTGGGGAATATTCCATCACACTCCTGACTTGTGCCTTGTAGATGGTGGACAGGCTTTGGGGAGTCAGGAGGTGAGTTACTTGCCACAGTATTCCCAGCTTCTGACCTGCTCTTGTAGCCACTGTGTTAATATGGTGAGTCCCGTTGAGTTTCTGGTCAATGGTAACCCCAAGGATGTTGATAGTGGGGGATTCAGTGATGGTAACACCATTGAATGTCAAGGATGAAAGGTTTCTCTTTTGTTGGAGGTGGTTATTGCCTGGCATTTGTGTGTTGCAAATGTTATACTTGTCATTCCAAACATGAATATGATCCAGGTCTTGTTGCATGTGAACCTGAACTGCTTCAGTATCTGAGGAGTCACAAATGGTGCTGAACATTGTGCAATCATTGGCAAACATTCCCATTTCTGACCTTATGATGGAGGGAAGGTCATTGATGAAGCAGCTGAAGATGGTTGGGCCTAGTATACTACCCTGAGGAACTCCTGCAGAGATGTCCTGGAGATGTCTGACACCTGCTTCCACAGGGCAACACTAACAGCAAAAACATCATTTTCAATATCATCCAGAAATATTGTTAATTACCAATGCACAATTAATATAATCACTCATAGTTAGCATCAGAAAATGAGTGAGGGCCTTTTAACTGTTTTGAGACAATAAAGAAAATGGTGACGTTTCTCACCTTACCACAAGCCACTGCTTGATTAAATAACAATTCCAGCTGCTGGACAGTTAAAAAAAAACTGTCTTCGTGACATCAAAAGTACTGAGCAGGACTGAGCCAACTGGAAAATTCCCCTATCACTGCTACCTGGAGCCTTCACTGGTATAAGTTACACACGGTTGCTTTTACAATTATAACCATAAAACCATAAGATCGAGGAACAGAATCAGGCCATTCAGTCTGCTTTGCCTTTCAATCACAGTGATATGTTTCTCAACCACATTCTCCTGCCTTTTCCCTGTAATTCTTGATCCTCTTACTAATCAAGAACCTAGAAATCTCTGTCTTAAATACTGAGAATGATTTGGTCTCCATAGCCTTCAGCAGCATTGAGTTCCACAGATTATCCATCCTCTAGCTGAAGAAATTACTCCTAAAAGGTCATTCCTTCACCCTGAGGCTGTGCCCTCAGGTTCTAATCTCTCCTACTAGTGGAAACATTTTCTCCACGTCCAGTCTATCGAGGCCTCTCAGTATTCTGTAAGTTTCAATCAGACTCCCCCTCATTGTTTTAAACTCCACTGAGTACAGACCCTGAGTCCTATAACCACTCCTCATACGACAAGCCCTTCATCCCTATGATCAAGAGAGATTAGATTGGATCGGATTGTTTTCTTTAGAACAAAGAAGGCTAAGGGGGGATTTGGTTGAAGTGTGTAAGATTATGAGAGGCATGGACAGCATGAATAGAAAGAGCTTTTCTCCTTAGTAAAAGGGTCAGTAATGAGGAGCATAATTTTAAAGTGAAAGGTAGGAGTTTACAGAGGATTTGAGGAACCGTTTGTTTTCGCCCAGAGAGTGATGGTGTTCTGGAATACATTGCCTGGGAAGGTAGTTGAGGTGAGAAACTTCACACAATCTTTAAAAAGTACTTGGATGATCATGTGAAGTCTCATAACATTCAAGGCTATGGCCCAAGTGCTGGAAAGTGGGACTAGTGTAGATAGCATTTCTGAAGAAGGGTCTAGACCTGAAACATCAGCCTTCCTGCTCCTATGATTCTGCTTGGCCTGCTGTGTTCACCCAGCTCTACACCTTGTTATCTCTAGTGTAGATAGTGGTGTATTTTTGGCAATACTGACTGGATGGGCTGAAGGTCCTCTTCTGTACTGTATGATTCTATGATTTTGAACTCATTTGCTAACAGCACAGTGTCAGTCTCCAATCTGTGTAAATACCAGGAGGCTCTGAAACTTCAGCTTTGACTGAACGTGACAGACCTCAAGGGCGGCATGGTGACTCAGTGGTTAGCGCTGCTGCCTCACAGTACCAGGGACCCGGGTTCAATTCTAGCCTTGGGCAACTGTCTGTGTGGAGTTTGCACATTCTCCCTATGATTCCATGATTTACAGAGTTCCTACACACAGAACAAGTGGTCCTAATGTCATGGAAGTGGAACTGGATCATGACAATTGGACAGAACTGAATCTGTAAAGAGCAGCTTTATGTTACCATCTCCTTGTAACCACCTCCTGTGTTTATTCTCCCACAGAAGGTGCAGGTTGTTGTCACTGTCCTGGACTACGACAAGATTGGCAAGAACGATGCCATCGGGAAGGTCTTTGTGGGCTATAACAGCACGGCTGCAGAGCTTCGCCATTGGTCAGACATGCTGGCCAATCCAAGGCGTCCCATAGCACAATGGCACACCCTGCAGGCTGAAGAAGAAGTGGATGTTGCCCTTGGCCTAAAGAAATGAAAAGCCTTTCAGTGTTCCTCCATTTCATACTCATCATCAAGTGTGTGTAAATATTGTACCTCAGCCTCCTGACCCCAGACGGGACAAAACCTGTAAAACAAAAACAGTAAGACTTAGAAGTGGACATACTGGTCAGACTGGTCCTCCATTCTGAATATACAAGACAAGGCAGACCAGTATGTTCTCATCGACTAGTTTTACTGGTTTTCCCTTTCCAGCCACTTCCGGTGGTTACTCTCCCATCCCACTCAGTCCCTTTCCCACTCCACTGCACCATTATTTAAACATAGATCTGGTTAAAGAACAAATATTCCTTCAAATATTCCATTCCTGTCCAAACCTATCATCCTTTTAAGCAAGAGATAACAAGGTGTAGAGCTGGATGAACACAGCAGGCCAAGCAGCATCAGGCCCGAAATGTCAGCCTTCCTGCTCCTCTGATGCTGCTTGGCCTGCTGTGTTCATCCAGCTCTACACCTTGTTATCTCAGATTCTCCAGCA